AGTTTGTTTTGAGAATGGAAAAGTTAATGAAACTGGGGTGAATGGAAGAAGGAACAGGGCAGACTTTGGTAACTTCCTTCCCTGTAATACTGGTCCAGGCAAAAGCTGAAGAGTTGAGAGCTGTCCTATTTATTTTGTTTGAAAGAATGCTAACTGACATATTTAAAGCAGAGTACCCATCAGTGGCATGAAGGTAAGGCCATAAGGGTGTAAAACTTCATCTTGATTTCTGTTTTGGTGCCTTTTTATTGTCAGGGCTACTTGAAAACCAATAAGCAACAAAACCAACAACAAAATCCTTTTGTGCTCTAACACAGACATTAAGCTCCTTTTGCCTGGCTTAAAAAGCAAAAAGACTGATTTGGCATAAAGTACTTTAAAGAAAGCAATGAGTATTCTGACTTGGGAATATCTCTGAGTGAGTCTGAGCACGGAGTGCTGCAGAGGAAGTGCTTAGGGAAAAATGGTTCATCTGGGGTTTTAGTCAGTTAGGAACTTGTCAGTGCTGCTTTATATATGTACAAAACTCAGAAGTCCCGTGTTTTCCTGATTGTATTTCTGGATGTGAAATTTTACACTTCATGTTGTCCTGATCACTGCTGCACTTGTCAGTAAAATACTGTTCCTTGCATTCCCATGCTGTGCTGGCTGGAATCACACCGAAGGAAATCTTGCTCTGTGAATAACCTACAGCATGTTGCTGCAGAAGAAACACCAAAAGCGCCCATAGGAATCCTGAGAGTTTCCTTGCTAATGCTGTGCACAGCGTTCTCGTGGCAGCTCAAAGCAAGGGCAGGTGGGAGGTTTTCACACTGCCTAAGTACAGGGCTCAAAAAACCCAACAACCACCAAACAACAACCTCTTGTGGGGAAGCTCTGGTTCTGAACTCTTGACAGTTTTGACGTGCTTCTGCTAGTGTCTTCGGATTGTCATGGTGAAGGTGAAATTAGGGGACTGCGCTGTAGTTCCTTCTCACACAAGTCTTTAATGTATCCACACATGGACATACACTGGTTTGTGCACATGGCACGTTGACCCGCCTTTTACTGTTTTGCCCACAACTGTCACACTTTTGGTGGAAAACTGGTGCCAAGTTATTTAAGAATGTCAGCTGAGATGAAGAATTCAGTATGTGAAGTAATGTCTGATCACTCTGCAGTTAAGCTCTTCTTTCTTTCTCAAACTTTTTCTAGAATTTACGTTAGTATTTACCCCTACACCCTTTAAATGAAATGCTGTGCTGCATGATGCCGTATCATCAAGCAACAAAGAATGATTTTCCTCCATGCAGGCGAGACTGGGAATAAGAGAGGTGCATCTTGAAACGCTTATCAATCCACTTCTGAAAACTGCATGTGAACTTTACAAGTAGGGCAACAGTACAAGTACTGCTGCACATTCTACTCTTAAATATGTATCATCTTTATAGAAGAGAAATTTGAACACATTTGTTTGATGTTTGTGAATAGAAAACCTATGTCTAAGAAAGTACTACTATGCGAGTTTATTTGTAAGGCTGTAATACTCCAGAGGAATGTTTTTATATTCTTCTGCAAATTATTTTTTTAAAAAGAAAAGTATCAAGATTTTACAAGCTGTGCTCCAGATCCAGTGACCGTTTATAGTCAGGCTAAATGGTCTTACTAGATGTCTGTGGAGAATTGAGACTTTTTCTTGGTAGAGTGTTTTGTAGATAATGAGGCAAACTTCCACCTTTTTATTACTCATTGGGATAATTTAATGGATGTAAATTAAATTTTCCAGACTTAACTGAGATGATGCGTATGCCATCTCACTCTCTCCCCACGTGCTTCAGATGTGAAGATTTTTTTTTTTTGTTATGAGCAAGCAGAACAAGACTGTCTTGGAGACATCTGCAGAAGGGCTGCAAGATGAGCAGGATATGCTTCCTGTTTTACTTCTAACAGCAAAAATAAAGAGGGATTTTTGCTAAGTGTTTCCAACTTTTTTTAGGATATGCAGGAGTTTCTTTCATAATGGTCAAGAAAATCCAAAGTTAATCCTAGTGAGAGGTGTAAGTCTGTCTCCTCATGAACATCTGTCTTCTGCCAGTGGGGATTAACTGAGAGCATTCCTGTGTGCTTCATCCCTATAGCACGCTGTGTTTGTGCAAAGGTGACCCTTTCTTAGGGCATGATTGTAGGGGTTTAGGTCGTTGGTCTGCCTGGCTCAATATTTTGTCTCAAGTAATGCAAGTAGAGCTTGTAGAAGGAAAGAGGCATTTAATCAACAAAGCATGTGTACAGTGATCTTTTCCCAATCGTAGTCCACCAATGAGCAACAGTGTAAAAACTTCTTGAGCCAGATAGCTGTATCAAAATCACTTTTCAATACCTGTGGATCTTCCATTAATTTATCTAATCTTTTTTCTGAATGCCATTAAGCTTTTGATTTCCGCAGCATCCTGTGATAAAGTGTGATTCCATCCTGAACCTTTTTCTCCTAATAGATCATGTCCATTGTTCCTGTTTCATCAACTGCTCAAAAGGCAACTGGACAAAGATTTCTGTTTTGGGATGTGGAAAGGACTGAGCAGCATGTGATTCTTTTGGTCCTCATGAAAACTTGGTTTCCTGTTTTTTCTTGACTGGCTTACCTAAAGCTTGACAATCTCAGTTTTTTTAGGTGCTTCAGTTTGTATAATACTGTCTCATTACCCAGTCTGTAAATTGAGATGAGCTTGGTCTGACTTGAGACCTCTACAGTCTGATAGATTAAATTTAATAAAGCTAGTGGATCTCAGTCAGACTTGCACCTGACATATGACTGTTAAGTTACATTTGTATGCACTGGTCAAGTTCTTTCATTGTAGTTTTCCACACTTACTCTGTTCAAAACCGTACTAAGCTGTTCGCAGAACATGATGTTTTGTACCTCTCTACAAATAACAACTTGCCACTTCCAAAAGCAGCTTGTGGATTTTTATAATAATACAGCTTTTCTTTCCCCCCTCACTCATGTTCCTTCAACCTTGGTGCCTTTGGCTGTGTAAGAAAAAAGGTAAAGGAGCCTGTTACTGCATAAAAACTTAACTGCATTTGTCTGAAAGCGATTTGGAAACTTGGAAAACTTTGTCCCAAGTTTCAAATAATCACTGCAGTCAGAAGGATTACACATACTCTTCTGGCAAGGTTTATAACCATAGAAAAAGAGCAATCTTGATACATATGAGATGACCTTTTTTGGCTCATGTGGTGTATCACAGGAGGCCATGCTGACATTCTCAAATCCATCTCTTGTACTTTTTAGACGATTAAGACTGCTGCAATAACAGACTTTGACCAGCATTTGTTTTCCCATCTAGGAAAAAATTCCATTTATTTTGTATTTAATATAGCTAAGCCTATGACAGTTCCTTTTGAAGAATACTGGCTTGTAATGTTGTTTAAATTTACAGTCACGACTCTTCAAGACAAAAAGGAGAGTTTAATTCCCAGTAAGCATAGATGGGCTTCTCGATATAGTGTAGTATGCATTGTCCTTTGTTCAGCTGGCAAAACACCCTTGGAGGAGAAAGTCACAGAGATGTGAGGGGTATTAGGAAACTTCAGGATATTGCAGTAAGCATAATCCACTTGATACTGGGTTATGCTTTACGTATATTCCTGTAGTATAAAGCTAAAATTGCCACTTAAGGGAAAAATGTGTATAAGGAAGAAGGAATCTGGCTTTGAAGCTGTTGAGATTGCTTCTGGGAAAACTTTTTAAGTTGATATTCTTGCCTCCTCCCATTTCTCAGCAGAAAAACACTTTTATCCTGTTTTGCAAAACAAAAATCATTAGGCTACTTAACTGTTTACACAAATCTTAAGAGAAAGCGTACTATGTGCCAAAATAAATCTGTAC